CAGTTCCTGACACTACCACCCTAACTAAGCGTATAATGCTATCAGATTCATCGAAGATATTTGATCCATTGGGTCTCATATCTTGCGTCACCATCGTTGTCAAGATTCATTTCCAACGTCTCTGGGAACAGGGAGTTCAGTGGGACGATCCTCTTCCTCCAGACATTGAGCAAGACTGGCTGACATGGAGAAAGGGACTACATCTGATCTCTTCATTACGAATCCCACGATGTTACGCACCACTGGAMGCGAAGATCATCTCTAAACAACTAGTAGGATTCTCTGACGCTAGTGAGAAGGCTTACTGTGGCATCGTCTACTTGCGCTGTCTTGACACGGCSGGCGGAGTTCACCTCTCTATCGTCATCGCAAAGACCAAAGTTGCACCACTAAAGAAGGTKTCACTACCACGCCTCGAACTTTGCGGAGCATTGTTACTAGCACGACTCCTGAGACACGCCCAACATGTGCTTAACATTGCTGCCAACGACGTCCGTGCCTTCACAGACAGTACAATAKTTCTTTACTGGATACATGGAAGCAGCCATTGCTTCAAAACGTTCGAAGCAAATCGCATCYCTGAAATCCAACAGCTAGTACCTCCAGAATCATGGTCTCACGTCAGTGGAGTTGATAACCCTGCTGATGCTGGATCACGTGGCATCCTACCSCAAGACGCACTACACCACGACCTTTGGTGGCACGGGCCACCATGGCTAAAGAATGACGAAACGACTTGGCCTAACAAGCCCAACCTTCGTCCAACTCCTGAATCACTCATGGCATCAGGWTACGATGAAAGCGCCTTGYAAGTCAAGRCCGAGAGCGCTGTGAACGCACACGTGGTCTCAACAAATTCACCAGTCATCGATCTAGAGGCATTCTCAAACTACACGAAACTGATCAGAACAACCGCCAGAGTCTTCCGTGTTGTCAAGCGGGAGCATCTGTACAAGAATACCCCCCTCACCATAGAAGAGATACAAAGAGCAGAGCGGTACTTAATCAAGGAGTCGCAACAGAAGTACTTCCCGCAAGTCATCAAACAGCTCACMGACAAGAAACCACTGTTGAAGAGTGACAAGTTGCAGCCTCTAAATCCATTCCTGGATAAAGATGGCCTAWTGAGAGTCGGCGGTCGACTAAGTCAGTCCTCGCTTGGTTATGATTCTCAGCATCCCATCATTCTACACAGTAAAGACCGCCTGGCTGAACTTCTGGTAGATCGTGAACACAGACGGCTATGTCATGCTGGCCCGAAGTTAACGCTTGGCTCCTTACAACAGAAATACCATATAGTTGGTGCACGCAGAATGGTCAGACGACATACTCAGACCTGTGTAATCTGCAAGCGAGCTGCCCCTACCACAGTCAGCCAACTCACGGGTCAAGTACCATCTGCTAGACTTCGCCCAACACACGTAAACGACAAGGTCTCAGTAGACTATGCTGGCCCACTTACTATCAAAGGAGGTGCGAAAAGACGACCAACGTATATCAACGCCTATGCTGCTATCTTTGTTTGCTTAGAAACAAAGGCGTGTCACATTGAGCTGGTTTCTGACCTGACAGCTGAAGCCTTCCTTGCAGCCCTCAGACGTTTCGTATCAAGAAGGGGAAAGCCATCACAAATGTGGAGTGACAACGGCACTCAATTTACTCGCACAAGCAAAGATTTGAAGGAGCTCTACCAAGCCCTCAAGGAACAGCCGACACAGAATCGCATCGACGATTGGTGCAGTACTCAAGGTATTCAATGGAACTTTAKTCCTCCCACTGGYCCACATCACGGATCCGTATGGGAGAATKGAGTGAAAGCCTGCAAATTCCACCTTAAACGCATCGTAGGAAACAGTAAACTAAACTTCGAAGAACTCACAACAACCCTGACACAAATTGAAGCCTGCTTAAACTCAAGGCCGATAGTCAACACACTCGACGCCAACGACGACGATKGCATATCACCACTGACACCTGGACACTTCCTCATCGGAAGACCGTTGGAAGCCATCCCCACCGTAGCTGATTCAAGCACTCCTCTCACCAACCTCAAGCGTTGGCAGTTATGCCAAACCTTAGTACACCACTTTTGGAAACGTTGGTCACTCGAGTACTTAAACTCCTTACAACGCAACCAAAGGTGGAGGAAACCRCAGCGCAATCTCAAGGTTGGAGACGTGGTCTTAATGAAGGACAACAGGACTTCACCAGGCGAATGGCCTCTGGCAAGAGTCACCGTACTGCATCCAGGACCTGACAATCTCGTCAGAGTTGTTACCGTCGAGAACAACAAGGGAAAGTACAGAAGACCTATTGTAAAGCTCTGCCTTCTAATGGAGGCTGAAGAAGACAAGCAATAGACACTTGAACATTGACACTTATATTCTCAAGTTATTTTTATCAATTAGTATAAAGGACACATATAATCATGAACAAGTTAATTATATTTTGATAAATCAAGGCCGGCGGAATGGACACGCCACATTTTTGTGTCACGCAATATTATATTTACACTAGATTATGATTGACATTTTAATTGTTTTGTAACTATATGTAATCGGATACACAAGCACATGGTTGTTAACTACAAGGCTTTAAAAACTACATCTTTGTATAAAACTCTCATCAAAGAACCTCATCGATTGTACTCGTCATCATTTCTCTATTTACGCGCGCATCCATTTAATGGTCCTTCGAGCCGGATATTTCAACTGGTCCTAGTTTTTTTAATACAAGATGCCGCCGGACAGAGATCATCGAAGTACTTTGGTCCACAAGAGAGGCAATATCAAAAGAAGGTTAACTAGCCTTATCAAGAGAATTGACGCATTGGAGGCAGTCGAAGTCAAAACTCCATACGAGTACGCCACTGCCGAACAATTCTTGCAAAACCTACGCGATTT